TTGACTCAGGTGCAAAAATTAATATTGTCAAGCCCTCAGCTCTTAGAGACATTGAAAGTAAGCACCCTACTACTTTAAAACAGTCACACATACCTTTTCTAAGTGGTATTTCAGGAAATAAAGTAAAAGTTCAGGGTGAAATTGACCTCCCACTCAAGTTCAATGATGTCACATTGTCTATAACATGTTTAGTTGTTGACATTATTCATTTTCCTGGAGACATTCTCTTAGGTCTGTACACCATGATTGATGAAAATATTGCATTGTTTCCCCATCGTTGGAACATAAGTATCAAAGACCACGTCATACCCTTGTGTAGCATGTATCGACAGGGCCATGAGTTCAACCTTCAATCAGATTACGTTAATTTTGTTGACACCCGCCTTGCTAGCGTAGGTTTGTCAGATCATTGTCGTGGTAGCATACCCGAGAAAACAGGCACTCGATTGAAGCATAGTAGTTGTGCAGTTGTTAAGGAGAGTGAGTATCGGGACTTTCTGGAAGGGGACGCCCTAACGGATTCTCGTTGTCTCGCTCGCCTGGCAGCTTCCATCTCTGAAGTCAGTGGTTCCACGGCTACTGACACTGTGCTACACCCTCATTCTCTCACCAGAATAAGAGTTAAGGTTCAGGGAGTGCCTGAGTTGTCGGATGTGATTGCGGAAAGTGAAACATGTAAAGTGAATGGTACATTTGTTGAACCCTCCTGGCACACAGTGCAGGATGGTACTGTTACATTATTTATTGCAAACACTAGTAATGCCGACATCCATCTCCAGTCTGGTACCCATGTTGTAGATTTTGCCCATTACTCGTTACCGGTGCGAGTTGTGGATGATGTCTCCATGGATCATACTGTTTGTACACTCACACCAGGAGAACAGGGATCTCAGCCAGAGGTGCAAGCGCAACACCTCAGTCCTACTGATTTTCCTGACTCTGTGGCTCAGCTTTTGGAAATTTTGAACAGGAATAGAGCTGTTGTTGCTCTACCAGGAGAAAAGTTAGGTCTCACTCCTCTTATTACACATAAAATTCCCCTTGAACAAGGAACTACGCCTATTTATGTACCAGCTTACCGTCTTCCCCATTCTCAGAGAGCAGAAGCCGATAGACTTGTAGAGGAAATGTTACAGAGTGATGTAATTGAATCGAGTAATTCGCCATGGAACGCTCCATTGATTCTTGTACCAAAGCGAGATGGGACTTGGAGACCTGTAATCGATTATCGCAAGCTTAACAGAGTAACAATACCTGATCGTTTCCCACTTCCAGTTCTAAATGATTTGTTGCAAAGTATTGGTCGAAACAAAGTATTCTCAACGTTAGATTTGTTGCAGGGATTCTGGCAAATCCCCCTTGATGAGGAAAGTAAACAATTGACAGCCTTTAGTACTCCCAATGGTCATTTTCATTTCAAAAGAATGCCATTTGGTTTGCGGAGTAGTCCAATAACCTTTTCACGGCTCATGACAAATCTATTTCGTAGATTGATAGGAAGTACTCTTCTAGTTTACCTTGATGATCTCATAATCATGTCGCAAGATGTTCAGACTCATTTCCAGAACCTTGAGAAAGTACTTGCAAAGCTCGCTGAAGCTAATTTAAAAATAAAGCTTGCAAAATGTTCATTTTTAAAGCAGAAGATTAATTTCCTAGGTCATACAGTTACACCTTCGGGTATTACATTGAATGAATCAAAAATTATTGCTGCCCGTGATTTTCCAACACCTCGTACCGCAGAAGCCGTAAGACAGTTCACAGGTCTTGTAGGATTTTATCGTTCATTTATTGCTGGATTCTCTATTATAGCCGCTCCGCTTTACAAGTTGCAAAGAAAAGATGAACCCTTTGTTTGGGGAGAGGCCCAGGATCAGTCATTCAAAAAACTCAAGTCAGCCTTGATTTCGTCACCTGTCCTTAGGTACCCAGATTTTTCTAAACCTTTTACGTTGGTTACAGATGCTAGTGACATAGGTCTAGGTGCTGCATTACTTCAAACAGAAGGTCACAGAGATCACGCAATAGCTTATGCTAGCCGTACATTATCTAAAGAAGAGAAAAATTATAGTGCAACAGAACGAGAAGCCTTGGCAGTTGTCTGGGCACTTAAACATTTCAAGGATACAATTTATAATTACCCAGTTCATGTTCTTACAGATCACCAACCATTAATTCCCTTGTTCAAAAATAAGAATCCAGTTGGAAAGTTTGCTAGATATTTGCTCACAATTCAAGAATTCAATCCCACATTTGGATATATTCCAGGGAAGCAAAATGTTGTAGCCGATGCGTTTTCTCGACACGTAGCTGCGATTCAGTTAAATTACCCAGCATTAGATGCTACAGTAGTAGAAACGGAACAGAGACAAGACCCCATATGGGCACCCGTCATTAAATTTTTGACTAAGCAAGACACTCGCCCGATTCATAAACCGCCAGTACCATTGAAAGAATTAGTTATGTTGGACAATTTACTGTGTAGAGTAGTAAAGCTAGGGACAGCCCCGAGGAAATGTTGTCAGTTAGTTGTTCCAGCTGTCTTGGTACCAACTGTGTTAAAAATTATCCATGATGCTCCTGCAAGTGCACATCCAGGAAAGGATCGTACACTCCAACAAGGTCGATTGAAGTATTTTTGGCCAAAAATGGCTAAGGAGATTGCTCATTATGTTGACAGATGTTTAACTTGCTTACAGCACAAGGGACATGTTTCAGGACCTAATCCAATTCAGGTGTACCCAGCAACTAAAGCTCCTTGGGAACGAATATCGATGGATTTATTGACAAATTTTGCGGAAACAGAGAAAGGGAACAAACATTTGCTTGTAATGGTCGATAATTTTTCACGGTTTTGCGAACTAGTTCCTATCCCGAACAAAACAGCAGAAACTATAGCCAGTGCATTCCATGACCAAATAATTTGTAGATATAGTATGCCTAAAGTAATCCTTTCAGATAATGGTCCAGAATTCAGTAATAGTATTTTAACTAGCTTGTGTGATTTATATAACATCAAAAAATGTAGCATCATGCCTTATCATCCAGCAAGTAATGGACTAGCCGAACGTACTAACAGGAAAGTGTTAGATGCCTTGAGAGTCACGTTGAATTTTGATAACAACAATTGGGATGATTTTATACCCTTAATTCAGTGTGCTATAAATTCTTCAATTAATGTTTCTACAGGTGACACACCTCACGCTATTCTTTATGGTACAGATAAGATCCTCCCTAATGAATTGATTAATGTACCTCCTACTCCCTTATATAACATAGATGATTTTGTTCAAGTGAAGCGTAGACAGATGCAATTAGTATTCAAGAAAATACGAGAACAACTGTCCAAAGCTACAGCCGAGTTCACTCTAGCAAGGAATGCACGAGCTAAACCCAGTAAAATAACTATTGGATCTGTAGTAATGATACTTAACCAACACAGGTCTGGTCCTATGTATAAGTTAACTAAGAAATTTTTGGGTCCATATAAGGTAATCGAGCTTATCAAAGGTAACAAATACAGACTAAAGAACTTAGTAACAGGAGAGTATATAAATGAACATTTAGACCACATGAAGTTAGCTAAAATGACTGTTGACGAGACTGATGAGGAAGATGACAATGAACTTACCCAGACAGATACTCCTATTGGGACACCACCTTCTGTGGTTGACAGACCACTTGATATTCAGCAACCCCATACTAGCAACTATAATCTTAGATCTAGACCTCTCGTTTCAACCGTGCACTCACCACATGTCCATTGGCTAGATGTTAACGAGGATATCTCTCAAGATGATAGTTTGTCACATGAAGTTTCATCTGTTCCGGACCTTCAGTCAGAGCCAGAGTTGTATAGTGCTCTGGATGAGCTAGGTGTAGATATCCGCAGAATTTATAATTGAGTGCACTCTGCAGTTATTCTGTTTGTTTTGAAAAAAAAAAATCATTTGCAGTATTTCTACCACATGTGTCTTATTATTACCATTATATATAATGTATAGTTTTTCTCAACTTTATTTTGTTATAAATTAGATGCCATTGTTAAGTCTACTACCATTTGTATTTTTACAGTGCTTGTCATAAGAGTTATTATTGTTCTAGCAACCACATTGTGGCCAGTGAATCCTGACTGCTATCACGCAGATGTTATTCTTGATCCAGGTCTTGTATATAGCTTGTAAATATATTGAACATTAAATATATTGTACATTGGTCTTGTAAATATATTGTATATTTCAGGGAAAAGAAAAAAAAAATCATTATCTAATCTTAAAATTCATTTGTGGTTGTTAGGTCAGAACTTTGTTCCATTAATGTAATAATTGTTTAATTTTGTATGGTTTTCAAGCACATGCCATTGACACATGTTAATAATTTTGTTTAGGCAATACCTTGAGTTGTATTGTTCATATCTGATCAGTAGACATACACATGTTCTTAATACTCTGGTTTAATCAAAGCATTGTTACCATGATTTTCACCTATTATGATGAATTTTTTTTTGGTGCATATGCCGAGTTGTTAGTATTACGCACACCTGATCTTCTTTCAATGTTTTATTATGCAAATTTCACATGTAAGCCATTATTGAATGCCACCGAGGTCCTTTCAGTATCATTGTAACTATATAGCTAGCCAGAGCTTGTCGACAAGGGACGTCGACTTGGTAGCGTGTCCGAGCGGTGTTATACTCAAATTCTATGTCAGTTGGAACATAACCAATCACAGGCAAGTAGGCCTCTGACGTCATGCCAGACAGAGGAGCATCAGCCATGCTTGGAGCAGGCTCAGTTCTCCTCACAGACTCAGAGTAGGTGGACCTCGGCTGGCCAGATATATACCTTGTTGTCTCGGTCAATAAATATACAGAAGCGACTACTGTGTCTACATTCAACCCGAACAAGGCAAACGAATACATTTTATGTTCTTCTTCAAAGGAATACGAATGGCGTGGGCGTACTAGCCGGTGGTATATTAACCACTGAATTCTCCTGCAGGAGGGGACGAGGGGCGTGGCGTGGGCGTGGTGTGGACACGGGCGGGGCTAGACAGGGAGGAGCGGCGCTCCCTGCTGGTGCCGCTGGTGGTGGCAGACGCCGGCTGGCCGCCCCTCACCGCCACCGCCACCCTCACCGTCCATGTGGGCGACCTCAACGACAACCCCATGACCCCCGCCGCCAAGACTGTCACTGTCCACACCCTGCAGGTCAGTGTCACCCTCCAAGTCACTGCCACCCTACAGGTCAGTCACTGTCCACACCCTCCAGGTCAGTGCCACCCTACAGGCCAGTCACTGTCCACACCCTCCAGGTTAGTGCCACCCGCCAGGTCAGTGCCACTTTTTCAGGCTATAGTCACAGTCCACTCCCTCCAGGTCAGGGCCACCCGCCAGGTCAGTGCCACTTTTTCAGGCTATAGTCACAGTCCACTCCCTCCAGGTCAGGGCCACCCTCCAGGCTATAGTCACTGTCCACGCCCTTCAGATCAGTGCCGCCCTGCTGGTCAGTGCCACCCTCCAGGCTACAGTTACTTTCTACACCCTCCAGGTCAGGGCCACCCTCCAGGCTACAGTCACTGTCCACACCCTGCAGAGAAATGTCATCCTACAGGCTGTTCATTACCCATACCCCTGCAGGTCAGTGTCACCCTGCAGGCACTGCCCACACCGTCAGGTAAGTCTCTGTTGTCACTTTCCTTCTATCAGTCACTGGGTTATTGGACCTCAAACTCACCTTCATCTCCCACCTCCCGATCCCAACCACTTGGGCTAGACGGTAGAGCAACGGTCTCGCTTCATGCATGTCGGCGTTCAATCTCCGACCGTCCAAGTGGTTGGGCACCATTCCTTTCCCTCCGACCCATCCCAAATCCTAATCCTGACCCCTTTCAAGTGCTATATAGTAGTAATGGCTTGGCGCCTTCCCCCTGATAATTCCCTCCCCCCTTCCCCCAACCGGTCGTCCAGAGGATAACTGAATCTCAGTCGGACATCAACAACTTGAAATAAGTGTACTGTAATCTCCAACCATTGACGGGGCCTGACAGCTGAGTGGACAGGGCTTCGGATTCGTAGTTCTGAGGTTCCGGGTACGATCCCAGGCGATAGTGGAAACAAATGGGCAGAGTTTTTTTCACCCTGATGCACCTGTTTACCTAGCAGTAAATAGATACCTGGGAGTTAGACAGCTGCTACGGGCTGTTTCCTGGGGGGGGGGGTGTAACAAAAAGGAGGTCTGGTCGAGGACCGGGCCGCGGGGGACGCTAATCCCCGAAATCCTTTCAAGATAACCTCAAGATTACAATTTGTCTACACTCAGTTGGGCCTTTAATGAATAGCCACTGAAACAGTGGGGAGGTTACGTACTCCCATTATTATTTTTTTGTACAACTCATATTGGCTTTTTAACTGGAATAACATTAGGCGGTGACACTGTGGGTCTCGTCAACACTCCGAAAAATGGTCACTTTAAGGACCCACTGCTTCAGAAGTAACACTGAAAATGTACAAGAGCTATTAGCTTCACCCAAAATGCGTTTCTGCATTCTTCCAACACTGTGTATACAGTTGCATTAACATAGTTCCTAAAACTTTCACTGTCAAACTTTTTTTGTAACTAGGAGTGCTACATTCCCTCCCTGTATTTGTAACCTTTATTTTTGTAATGGCTAGTAATCCCCTGAAAATATTACATCTGAGATAATATTATTAATCTTGGTTACCAATACTGCAATAATATTCTGAACTTTTTTTCAAACTCTCTTTTATTTCCTCAGTTTAATTTGTAACTCCAACAGTATTTGTAAACTATTTCTTAAGGCATTCATTGAACACGATATTACTTGTGTTCTCAGAAAATAGTTTTTAATATGTTTCTACTGGTGTGAGATATAAATGAGAAGTTAGATTAAGTACTGGTTGTGATGATAAGTTCATGGTTAGAGAGGAATTGATGCAAGTACGGGGGTGGGCGCTGAACGGCTGTAGAGGGGTGATGGGCCGGTTGGGGAGGGGTTATCTTGAGGTTATCTTGAGATGATTTTGGTGCTTTTGTGTCCCCGCGGCCCGGTCTTCGACCAGACCTCCACCACCAAGAAGCAGCCCGTGACAGCTGACTAACACCCAGATACCTATTTTACTGCTAGGTAACAGGGGCATTGGGTGAAAGAAACTCTGCCCATTGTTTCTCGCCGGCGCCCGGGATCGAACTCGGCACCACAGGATCACAAGTCCAGTGTGCTGTCCGCTCGGCCGACCGGCTCCGGACCGTGGGGGTCAGAGAGTGAATCTCGAGGAGAGGTAGGCTGAGGGCCAAGTGAGGGCTGTATGTGAGTGTGTGTGTATTTACTGTTCCTATTTACTATGTGTGTTTACAGGATCCAGCTCGTGGCTCTGCATCCCGCCCTTCTAACCGTCGGTTGTCGTGTGTAACGTCTCACGACATAATGGTTCCTCATCGGCTACTACATAAATTGTTATCTTACTTATATATATGCATCCCCAGGATGCAGGCCGCAGCAGCTGACTAACTCCAAGGTAACTATATACAGATAGGTGAAGAGCAGAATTAGGTGAAATACTCTTCCCATTTGTGTTTATTCTTGTTAATAAATGCGTGTGTTCGTGTATATGCGTGTGTGTAGTTACTATGAGCATTTACAGTTTGTGCCGTTAGGATCGAGGTGTCAGCTCTTGGACCCCGCCTTTCTTACTCCAGACTTATCTTTCCTCTATCACACACATTTCTCTCGAATGCACAAATACCCACGATGAAGCCCGAATGAGCTGTCTTATTCTCATGTACCTATTTACCTATAGGGGGGCCCTTTCACCTGAAGCCCCCTGTACCTATTAACAGGGGGCTTCAGGTGAAAGAAACTTTTCCCGTCTGTTTCTTCCTCTACCGGGAATTGAACCTGGGCCCATGGACTACGATCCCTGAGCGCTGACTGTGTGTGCGTGTGTATGTGTGTGTGTGTGAGAATTCACTACGAAGTGAAATAAAAAATCACAGGAATGCCAGCGCCCCAGAGAAGAGTGTCACACTCACCTTCCTCTCTCTCCCCCAGCCACAGGGGAGGCCGGTGCCCCTGAGAAGAGTGTCACATTCACCTTCCTATCTCTCTCCCAGCCACAGGGGAGGCCGGTGCCCCTGGGGAGAGTGTCACTCTCACCTTCCTCTCTCTCTCCCCCAGCCACAGGGGAGGCCGGTGCCCCTGGGGAGAGTGTACGTCCAGGACCCCGACGACTGGGACGCCGCCGCCAAGACGTACTCCTGGAGACACCATCTGTCTGGCTTCTTCCTTGACACTGACACCGGCGACCTCACTATGGCCCCCGACACTCCTGACGGCCGGTAGGTGAAGGTTCCCTTCCACCTGGAGGTAGGTAGGTGAAGGTTCCCTTCCACCTGGAGGTAGGTAGGTGAAGGTTCCCTTCCACCTGGAGGTAGGTAGGTGAAGGTTCCCTTCCCACCTGGAGGTAGGTAGGTGAAGGTTCCCTTCCACCTGGAGGTAGGTAGGTGAAGGTTCCCTTCCACCTGGAGGTAGGTAGGTGAAGGTTCCCTTCCACCTGGAGGTAGGTAGGTGAAGGTTCCCTTCCACCTGGAGGTAGGTAGGTGAAGGTTCCCTTCCACCTGGAGGTAGGTAGGTGAAGGTTCCATTCCACCAGGAGGTAGGTAGGTGAAGGTTCCCTTCCACCTGGAGGTAGGTAGGTGAAGGTTCCCTTCCACCTGGAGGTAGGTAGGTGAAGGCTCCCTTCCCACCTGGAGGTAGGTAGGTGAAGGTTCCCTTCCCACCTGGAGGCAGGCAGGTAACGGTTCCCTTCCCACCTGGAGGTAGGTAGGTGAAGGTCCTCATACATAATGAAATGGGTAGCTTTATCATTTCATAAGAAAAAAAATTGAGAAAATATATTATTTCAGGAAAACTTGGCTTATTAAGCAAATCGGGCCTTGCATAGTAGGCTGAGAAGTGCGTTCTGGCTACTAGGTACGACATATATATATATATATATATATATATATATATATATATATATATATATATATATTTATATATATATATATATATTATATTATATATTACTATATATATATTTTATATTATTATTTATATATTATATATTATTATATATATATTATATATTATTATATATAAATATATATATATATATATATATATATATATATATATATATATATTAAATATTATTATATATATATTATATATTATTATATATAAATATATATATATATATATTATATATATATATATATATATATATATATATATATATATATATATATATATATATATATATATATATAGTAACAATTATGCAATTATTGTTATATTAGGTAAAATATTTTATTTATTCATGTTCGTTTATTGAGACAACCCAACACAAATTACTGCACATGAGCTTGACAAGGTCAATTTTAACTGCCAGCTGCTCAGGCTACACTGGTTGACGGCCCTTAAACATTCATAACTTGGCCGAGACTCCCAATAACACAGATTTGTGTCTAAGTTTTTTGAAGTTTGGCAAACAAAAACTTAAAGGAGTCAATTGTTAGGATTACACAGAGGTCCAGGTTAACTGAGTCCGGATTAGCGAGCTCCTTAGTCTGGTGTTGGACTAGAATTTAACAATTAGGAATATTTATCTGCAGAGCATTGTGAGGTTATTTCCTGGGTTCTGTTTGGACGATACGTTCCTCAGATGCATCTGTCCTCACGGCACCTGGGGTTCTCGCTGTAAAGTGATCGTTAGGCACTTCGAGGACGACGGTGGAGGGTCAGACTTGGGAACTAGTGAAGACGAGGTTGTTACAGTGGGCGGATGGGCGTGGGTGCCGCCCATCCCGCCTTGTGCCGAAGTCCACCTGAGTCTGGAGGTGCTGACCAGATCCATTGCGGCCACGCTGCTGTACTCAGGACCGGACCAGGGGGCACCAACCCCAGGGACCGAAGAGAACACCGCTAGGGACCTGTTGCTGCTGGAGCTGCGTCAGGGCCGTCCGTCTCTCCTGCTGGACCTGGGAGGCGGCCCTGTCACCCTCGACCTCAACGCCTCCTACTCCCTGGCAGACAACACCTGGCACAGGATCGACCTTATATGGAAAGACGAGGTGAGGAGTAAGGATGTAGAGCAGAGACTTTGGACTATAGGTATTGATTTTGAAATCCAAATGATTGTTGTGACCAATATCGTTGCGACTTCCATTGTAGTGGTAAATATTATCATTATTTCATATCATTCATTATCATAACAAATCTCATGTTGTTAATCACCTGACTAGTCTCGAAAGGTCACGATTACTGCCTGTTATAGTCGATTCAACTATAATAAATGTCATTTAACACTTTACTGTGAACCATACCTAGTTTTCTTTGACACTTGCTGTAGGTACTGTTATCACCATAGAAGATAAATCCCTTTTCAAAACTGTGGTTGATATTCGGCCTTCGTCAGGCCCATGTAATATATTTAATCTACATTCAAAAGAAAGGGCCACCGAATGAATATATTTTTATATATGAGAAAAGGTCGTTTTTCGATACACAGTTTAACATTTACGAATGCATACTTCGATTACATTGCAGCTTGGACAGCCAATACATGGGCAACCCAGCATTTTTTGCAATGTATAATATTATGGCAGGTAATTGGATCAGGGCATCAACGTGCCGATGCAAATAATGTTAAAAATGTGTGATACCCAGATTCAAATGTGTGGGACAGCCCACACAATTAAGCAAAAACAAGGAAGGAATCCAAGTAATTTGAGGCATTCTTCCAAGAAGAGGAGTTGGAAAATTCTTGTTTAGGACACTTAGTGTCAATTACTGACTAGATTAATATTGCATAGTCAAGGCATTTATTTATTGATACTTGCTATTCCTATGCATTCAAGACGATAACCTGCAGTGGTTTAAACAGTATTAATATCTTTGAGTCAGGATAGATTCTAAACATATATTCAACAAGAATTCAATATCTAAAGGAGAAAACAAAATCTAAAATAAATTCAACCACAGGTCCCCATTTACAAGTGTGAGACAGTGTCAAGAATGTTTGACTTAAATGCCGTTCGTCCAGTAGTTGATTACGTAGCGTCTGCCTTCTTGCCTAATTCTGCCTTATTTCTCCAAAAAAATAATCATAGGTTGACGTTATTCAAAACGATGCAATGCGTCATAATTGGGCTCTTAAATGGAAATTATAAATATAATTAAAAAATATAAGCATATATATATATATATATATATATATATATATATATATATATATATATATATATATATATATATATATATATATATATATATATATATATATATATATATATATATATATATGTCGTACCTAGTAGCCAGAACGCACTTCTCAGCCTACTATGCAATGCCCGATTTGCCTAATAAGCCAAGTTTTCCTGAATTAATATATTTTCTCTAGTTTTTTCTTATGAAATGATAAAGCTACCCATTTCATTATGTATGAGGTCAATATTTTTTTATTGGAATTAAAATTAACGTAGATATATGACCGAACCTAACCAACCCTACCTAACCTAACCTAACCTATCTTTATAGGTTAGGTTAGGTTAGGTTAGGTAGCCGAAAAAGTTAGGTTAGGTTAGGTAGGTTAGGTAGTCGAAAAACAATTAATTCATGAAAACTTGGCTTATTAGGCAAAATGGGCCTTGCAAAGTAGGCTGAGAAGTGCGTTCTGGCTACTAGGTACGATATATATATATATATATATATATATATATATATATATATATATATATATATATATATATATATATATATATATATATATATATATATATATATATATATGTCGTACCTAGTAGCCAGAACGCACTTCTCAGCCTACTATGCAAGGCCTGATTTGCCTAATAAGCCAAGTTTTCCTAAATTAATTGTTTTTCGGCAACCTAACCTACCTAACCTAACCTAACCTATCTTTTTCCGCTACCTAACCTAACCTAACCTATAAAGATAGGTTAGGTTAGGTTAGGTAGGGTTGGTTAGGTTCGGTCATATATCTACGTTAATTTTAATTCCAATAAAAAAAAATTGACCTCATACATAATGAAACGGGTAGCTTTATCATTTCATAAGAAAAAAATTAGAGAAAATATATTAATTCAGGAAAACTTGGCTTATTAGGCAAATCGTGCCTTGAATAGTAGGCCGAGAAGTGCGTTCTGGCTACTAGGTACGACATATATATATATATATATATATATATATATATATATATATATATATATATATATATATATATATATATATATATATATATATATATAATATATAATATATGGAAGGGAGTACCACCTCTAGCTGGAAGAAGGGGGACCCATAGCCTCGGAGGAAACCACGCATAACGCATTAGAGGGAATGTTTAGATCCCCTCCAATACAGTTTGTGTGTGTTTTTCTCCTACCACCCCCTTCCTTTTTTATTTTTTGTGCTTTATTATGCACTTGATGGTTACAAGATATACATGGGTCGACACAAAAATAACAATGCAAAAAGGTGCTCAAAGGTTATGGATCTCTTGAAAAACACAACAATGGGAAACATTGATGAATGTCACAGACGGGTTCGATCATTGTTGCAAGTCAAACACTTCTTCGAATTCCTCTGAAGTTGGACTAGTGCCCAAGACGCAACAGGCATTTCCCCTCTGAATCGCAACACTGAGGCGCTGGAACAAGAAACTTTTTGCTCTCTGGTCTTTTGTAGCGCTGATCAATTTGTCCCCCAATTCCTTCAGGAACTTCAATGCACATTTTCCCCACGAACCGAGGGTCTCCGAGCCGATCGGAACAAAGCTGTAGCAGTGTGCTAGACCTCTGTATTTAATAATTTTCTGCGATTCCCTGAAAGAAGCAGCACCACCGCTTTCACGTGTGCTGTAGTGGAGGTAGGTACTGGTCAGTGTGGCAGCGCACGTGTAGTCCCATACCACTTGCTTACCATCCTTCCAAGGTAGCAAGGTGACCCCATCAGGGCGCTTCTGAGGGTCGTTAGGTCTGGATAAGTGTGGTTCTCTTTGTGCCGGGCAGCGGGCTGTGGCGAGGCTCCTCTTGATGATGTCGTTGACTTCTTCATGTCTTGCAATTTTACCCTGTGATTTACGACATACCAGACCATGACGACCATATTGGTCTGCCATCGCAGTTCCACAGATGCACCTATGTTCGGTGAGGATGGGGGCGGCAAGGCGAAGGGCAACTCCAATGCGAAGAGCGTCATGACTGAGGCGAGTTTCCAGGGCTGCATTGGGCACAGCAAATAAAAAATCCCCGGCGTGGGGTGCTGTTACCGCTAGGAGGCGGGCTTTGTTTTCAGCATCAGCGTTGTCAATCATTGCTGTGACAGTCTTTTCCATTATGGGGCTATCCCAGTGGGCCTGCTTGTGGTCTTTTGGGACTTGTGGTCGGGGTTGAGGGTGTGCAATGGTGTCCCATTGTCTGGCTGCTTCGATGAACGTTTGATCATGAGTTCCCGCTGTCTCTCTCATACGCTCTGGTAGGATCTGCCCTACCAATTCGTTGGCTGCTGTACATGAGGATAAGAATGCTGGAAGTGCTACCTCAGTTACCTTTCGTATGCCTATCCCTCCAAATCTCACTGGTAGTGTTGCTTGGTCCCACTGACTGTCATCTAAATCTAGGTTGAGCGCCTTCCTGAATATTGACCTGAGGAGCTCATCATATTGATGTAGAAGTGGGTTGCCAAAAGTTGGTGCACACCTTAAGAAGTATGTTAGCCTGGGCAAGGTAAGGCTCTTTGTGAGAAGGTAGAGGGCATCGTGGGAGTCCAAGTCCCCAATTCTCTCTTCCATCCTCTTTAGGTCTATATATATATATATATATATATATATATATATATATATATATATATATATATATATATATATATATATATATATATATATATATATATATATATATATATATATATATATGTGTGTGTGTGTGTGTGTGTGTGTGTATTAATAAAATCATCTGTGAACTCAACCTCTAACACATGAAAAGAGTTTGTTGCGTTTTTTCTCGAGTTATTCGAGTCATTGTATTGAAGGGCTGTTTATTAGAAAAAAATGTTCAGTTCTGTACAACTTTCTGCGTATTAGTTTCGGTACTCGATGTATTGCCTTCCTTTGTTGTCTTGTCACTGAACCATTACCCCGGCACCCTCAGCATAATCCAGCAATGTCACTAGGACCATTACCTCAGCGTCAGAACATAGCTAATAACTATCACTGGGATGCACTCTAGTTGGAAGTTGCACGTCATGTTTGTATCATTATAGTTCCAGTTCCTCCTTTTACAGATTTCCTTTACTATAAAACAAAGTTTTCACAAAATGTTAATTTTCTCGTGTTAATTTCGTAATGAAATATGTACAATTCTGAAAATTTCATATCGCAACTTGCTTTCCCATGATGTTTAAAGATACACGAGATCAGGTTTTGTCTTTCATGATAATTCATAATTCAGTGTTCAAGATTAATGAAAGGTACTAGATATTTTTTGGAGATAGAGTGAGTTATACTCTTCGTGGTTCAGGAGAGTATGACCTTTATATATTTTGTTCAGGCATATATGATAGGTATTCAATGTTTAAACTGGTATGATATATATTATTCAGGGTAGTATGCAATATTTAAATTTTTCAGGTTTGAATGTCAACTCTCACAATACTTATAGGAGTATGAAAGTTAATTTTTGTTCAGCAGAGAGATAGTCATCTATTGTTCAACAAAGTACGATTATAATTCAGTGTTCGGGAGACAGCAACTCGTCAGGTGATAATTACTAATAGTTCAAAAGTGTGTAAAATACTCACCCAACACCATTTACATCAAAACATTAATCGCGGGTTATTCTCCTTTCCCAATTTGTGCTCTCCCACCTCCTCATCCTCCCCATTCACGCTTCCTTCTCTTCTCTTAATTCTTTTTCTTCACCCACTCTTATCTTCCGATCCCTCATACAATTTTCCTTCTCTCATTACCCTGTCTACTACTTTTCTTCCCTTGCTCGTCCCTTCTTCTCCTTCTCCATCCTGTTTCATTTCTCCATCTCCTTCATCTCTCTTCGCTCGTTCTCTCCCACTCTCTCTCTCAGTTGGTGGAAATGATTGTGGACTTGTGCACGGGCAACGGACCAGATGACGTACCACCGCCGCCACCCTCCACCCTCGCCCACAACCACTCCAAGACGAACACCCATCCCGACGCCCACACTTGTAGAGGGGCGGCCAGACTGCCTCATGCCGCCCGCGTCCTCAACACAAGTGGACCGCTACAAGTGGGTGGACTGTCTCACCCTCTACCAGCAAACACTTTACAAGGGAGTTTCCCACCTTTCTATGGCTGTCTCCGGAACCTCAGAGTCAACGGCCAGGTGAGAGGCGCTGTAGTAGCAGTAAATATATATATATATATATATATATATATATATATATATATATATATATATATATATATATATATATATATATATATATATATATATATATATATATATATATATATATATATATATATATATATATATATATATATATATATATATATATATATATATATATATATATATATATATATATATATATATATATATATAAATATATGCACTAACTTGCCTAAAACATGCAAGTGAAGTTTTACAACACTTTCCCATCAGGAGACTTGAACCCTAGCCAGCACAAAAGCCTCACAGCAACTGGCATAGCAGGTACCCCTTTAACCCACTGCACCAAACTCAGACCCTTAAAAGAGATGGTAATTTCGGGGTATTAAAACCCCCAAAGATCGCCACCTCCCAAGGGCAACTAGAACTAGTGAGGTCATTCACATTCTTTCATCAAGTCCCTGTTAATATGGGAGAACACTGTGTCTGTGCTTAATGCACTAACTTGCCTAAAACACGCAAGTGAAGTTTTACAATTACATTACAAATCTAACAGATAGAACTCCCAAAAACTTTGTTTTAATATATTCATATTATATCAAATGTTTCTGATAACAATTTCGTTTTTATAATTTGATATATTTGCTTTTCGATTTAATCAATTTTGGCTCGTTATTAATTCATCTTTACTTCAATTTTTTTTTAAATATTTCCTTTTTATGTTTGTTTTGCTCATCTCGGCTTCCATTTTCCATTTACATCCCTTCGTTCTCTTCCTTACATGGTAATTGATGGTGTCTCGAATGTGGTGATTATGGTTACTCTGTGATTTGTCCAGTGTTGTGATGTTCATTTTTTAGTCTATCCTTTTTTATATATACTTTTCATTTCTGGAAGACTTCTAGTGGCGTAACAAACTTTATCCTTTTTGTGTGTTGCTGTATGAGATCTGTATACTGTCGCTGCTTTGTGTGTTTAATTCCATAAGTGTAGTTACAGAATGAGAGCTACGCTTGTGGTGTCCCGTCTTCAAAGTACTGTCATATATCGCTTTGAAACTACTGATGGTTTTAGCCTCTACAACTTTCGCACTTAACTCGTTCCAACCGTCTACCTCTGTTTGCAAAATATAACTTGCTAATATTTTTGGCACCTTTGTTTCCTTAGCTTAAATCTGTCACCTCTTGTTCTTGAAGTTGCTGGTTTCAGGAATTCCTCTTTGTCAATTTGGTGTGTGTGTGAATGAAAGTTCAATTACATTCATATATTTAGCACTAGATGGAGTATCGGGCAATGACTGAGTCTCTCCCTCCTCGCCAAATCTTCAGCCTCTTCCGTCTGTCCCTTTCTTCCCCATCCCTCCTCTGCCTCCTCCCATTCTCCCTCTCTACTCTCCTTTACCCATTCCCTTCTTCTTTTTTCTCTGTCTTTCATATCTTCCCTTAACGCCTCCTGCCTCTCTTCCCCACAGCCTCCCTCATCTCAGATTTACCCTATCTTCCCCCTAACCACTTATCTCCCTCTTTACTCTCTTCTTTCTTATCCCTCTTATCCCTCTCAACTGTCTCCTACCTATTCCCCCTCTCTTCCTTTTCCCATTTTACCCCTTCTCCACCTCCTGTCTCTCTCTCTCTCTCTGGGAACATGGAATAAATTCACCCAGCACAAAATGTAAGCACATCGTTTTGTTTACTTTGTTACAACCTTGTCAAAACGTTGTGGTTATGTTGGGGTACTATTTAGAAACCCAAAACCCCTGTTTGACTTCATACGAGTCGCTGGGAGTTGCAGGGAACCGATCTTATTAAAGGGGGACCTTGGGGCCAACCTCTACCAGCCCATAATAGTCGTGCACCTACCATCAATGAGTATTCAGAAAAGATGGCTGAGGTTAGCACCAGACATCTGCCGTGGAACATCACACACATTCTCTTTTAGAGATATATTATATCAAATTATTTTAGGGAAGGAGGGAGTTGGGCTGGAGCCTGGCCGTGTGGGTGGAGAACTCTCGCCTGCAAACTGTTGTGTGTTGTTCCAGCAGCTGGTGGACCTGGGCGGCGGCGTCCTCGGCCAGGGCAGTTACCCCGGGTGTCCTGCCGCAGACTGCCTCTCCAGTGGCCTCTACTGTGGCCTCCACGGCAGGTCAGTCCTCTATGTGTACATATCAAAGAGAGAGAGAGGGAGGAGATGGTAAGCTATAATATATGCTAGCATCTATACACTTTTCCTTGTCTCCCTGCTTCTCTATTTTTAAACTAGGACTAGGGTTCATAACGGCTGTAAAATGACTTACCCAGTGAAACTGCAAGCAAAAGCCTGCTCCTAGTGACTCATTTATTTCATGAGTGTACTCTGAACACGGATAAGGATATCTCTCTCTCTCTCTCTCTCTCTCTCTCTCTCTCTCTCTCTCTCTCTCTCTCTCTCTCTCTCTCTCTCTCTCTCTCTCTCTCTCTCTCTCTCTCTCTCTCTCTCTCTCTCTCTCTCTCTCTCTCTCTCTCTCTCTCTCTCTCTCTCTCTCTCTCTCTCTCTCTCTCTCTCTCTCTCTCTCTCTCTCTCTCTCTCTCTCTCTCTCTCTCTCTCTCTCTCTCTCTCTCTCTCTCTCTCTCTCTCTCTCTCTCTCTCTCTCTCTCTCTCTCTCTCTCTCTCTCTCTCTCTCTCTCTCTCTCTCTCTCTCTCTCTCTCTCTCTCTCTCTCTCTCTCTCTCTCTCTCTCTCTCTCTCTCTCTCTCTCTCTCTCTCTCTCTCTCTCTCTCTCTCTCTCTCTCTCTCTCTCTCTCTCTCTCTCTCTCTCTCTCTCTCTCTCTCTCTCTCTCTCTCTCTCTCCCTCTCTCTCTCTCTCTCTCTCTCTCTCTCTATCTATCTATCTATCTATCTCTCTCTCTCTCTTTCTCTCTATCTATCTATCTATCTCTCTCTCTCTCTTTCTCTCTATCTATCTATCTATCTCTCTCTCCTACGTAAACAATTATTACAAATAAATTTCATAATATTAATAGTAATGACCAAATAATGATAATAATAACAATAATAATGCGAAAATTATTTGAAGCAAAGCGGGATTTACCCACCGACCTAGTAGACACCAGCCGTGCGCCATACCCCTATGCCAAGACGTGCTAAAAGCTATTCAGCCTGGGACCCTACTGAGTCCATCAGGAATTCTGGAGACACTGATCTGGTGCCCAAGCAGTTCTCATGAATAGTCCGCATGAGCTCTGGCGTGGGTAATGGCTTACTGAGCTAACACTACACGCAATTTTGCACACTAGAAACTACTATTTATATACCTGCCAATGAGGTCTCGTTATTTGTTTATCTGCCCATGAGGTCCCGTTATTTGTTTACCTGCCAATGTGTCCTTGCTCTCATACTCCTGCCCTTGTGTCCTTCCTATTTGTATACCTGTTTATGATGCTTTGGGCTCTTTGTGACGCGGCCAGTGGGTATGCTGGGCTATTTTATTACTAATCGTGTTATTCATTTATTGCACCAGAAAAATCGCAAGACACTGAGATACGCTTTAACTACAGTATGATGTGTGTCCGTGTGAGAACTGTATGCCTGGTACCGGGAGTTAGAGAGCTGATGTCTCAGCGAGCTATTGAACTGGGAGAAAGGTGAATTGAATTGTACTAAATGAACGGTAATTGCAGATATCTCGAGTGTTGATGGTTATCGAATCGAATATAAAATGGTAATCAATTAGAATTATGACAGGGAAAAAAATCGTACAATTTAGCGAGACTCTATTGACATTCACCGCCAGATGTAACGGATATCTGAAAATTATCAGTGCAGTTAAAAATGTTCCATTTGCTTGAAGTGAGCTAGAGAGAGTAATCCATATACAAGAGAAGTTACATGAAATTTCGAACAATGTGGATTTGTTCTGGAAATGATAGTGGATAGACTGGGTCTTTGTGTCGAAAAATAAAATTTTATATGAATGAAGTATCAAAAGTGGAAAGTTCCTAATATACCTGCTGGATATATATATGGAGAACTACGTGCACTTTCGGCCATACGGGTAAACGGCCAAAAGCGACGTTATTTTTAAGAGGACAGGATGATATGGAAGGCCTTTGGTCATTATTACTCCCAGATCTTTTAAAACGTTTTTATGTTCTATAGAGCGATTTTCCTTAGTTTTTTGTGTGGTTTCTTTTTCTTCGTTTTCATAGATCAGGAGCTGGAACCCATTTTCCTAAAATATAATTTACTTGTGAGCCATTGAAAGATTTGATTTACATGAGTTTGGAGGTTTGCTGTTTCCTCTTTATTTGTCTACTCTCATAAAAATCGTTGTCATCTGCGAAGGATGATACAGTACTGTTGTTTGTGTTCTCTATGTCCGGTATGAGAATGAGAAAAAGTACTGGAGCAAGCACAGAACCCTCGAGGACTCCAGGGATCTGATCTTTTCACGGCGGATGATGCGGATTTCACCTTGTTGATTATTACACACTGGGCTGTATTTGTTTGGAAATTTAAGATCCATCTTCCTTCTTTGCCAGTTATATCTTTTGCGAGCATTTATTGCGTAATAACACCATGGCCAGATTTGAAAGCTTTCAAGAAATGTGCGAATATTCAACAGCGTTTTGCTTTTCATTGATGGTACCTAAAACAATGTCCCAGTGGTGTAACAACAGAGAAAGGCAAGGGTGCCTTGTTCTAAGCCCTTTAGGTTCAAGGCTATCTGTGATCTGCCATCGTGTACTTCGTGATCTTTCTCATTTGTGATTTTAGCATTCTTCCTAAGATTTGTATAATGTGTGATGCTAGTTCCATCAGTCTGTAATTGTTTGCTTCTACTTTATTTCTTCCTTTATGAAGTTGTGTTATCTCTGCCGTTTTAAGTATGTTGAGGGTAACAACTGTAAACTCCGTCTCCAAAAATTGTTACTGGCCAGTGACAGCGTTTTTTTTACCAATCTTGATGAATTTGAAATTCCAGGAATCAGGGCCTCTAGTGCAGAGTCCATGTGAAAACCTGGTTGAGGCTAGCCCCAAGCGTGAGGCCTTTAACTTCGGACAAACCGACAAACATTCTTACTAATAGATATGGAAAATATACTTATTTATCTTTTGTAGAAGATTGGCTCTACTTCGGAATCCTGATGTCCGCTTACCTTAAGTCTCCTGGGGGATTAACCAATGGATTCTGGTGTATCGGATCCTTATAGCGTGTTCCACTATGGTCACACTATCTGTGGAGGAACACTGGTTGACCACGAAACGTTCAGGGTAGATGCCAGGCTGTACTCTGTGTGGAAGGAGTACAACTGACCAGAGTTAGGGGCTGACACTGCGTGGGATGCTTACATGTCGGAGGGTATTTGCCATTGTGCGGACAGGTCGAGGGAAGGAAGCAACAACACAGACAAATGTGACGATGTGACGTTCGCTCACTTCTTATAACGAAAATATATCGTTGTTAAAGAACATCAACAGCAGCAGCACCCTCTAGAATTATCTTGAATCACAATAGAAATAATGCGATAGTGTTAACATTGTCTGACTCGGTATTACCTCTGGTATTAATCTTACAACAAATATTATGTCAAATAATTTTAATTATAGCAGAGTATTTTTTTTTAACTGCGGAAGCAATTTAATTAGTAGAGAAGCTTTATAATTAGCCTACATGTTAACTGATATGCGTGTGTATTATAACTGTGTCTGTAAAAATATTCGAGCCAGATATTATGAGCGATAAACGTGTTGTATATAATATGAATATTATGTAATATGATATATTATTTACATATAATATGTATATTTCGAATGTGCATTTTAGGGTAAAATCAAAATTACATTTGAAACCACTCGCTGGGAAAATGTTCCCCCTCTTTCAGGACTGTCATCCAGTATTTCAGGGGCGAGGTTAATTATATTATCATTAAGGTTTCTCGTGTCTTGTAAAGCCCTCCACCCTCCCCCAGCTCTGTCTACCCTCCCCCGCCCCCTTGCTTCCACACCCCTCCCCATCATCCTCCCATACCTCAACTCTCCCCTCCACTCCCTCTACCCTTTCCACTCCTCCTGCTCCCTCTCGTATCTCGACCATGTAATCTCTGACGAACACTGATGATTGTGTTTGCTCTCCTTACCTCCCACTCTCTGGAGAGTTAAAGTACCTAAAATGTATAAAAACGAGTCAGGCTGATTCCTGACAATCTGAAATGCATTTCTGATTTCCCTAGTGAAACGTGCTGGAGAGAAAAATAAGAATTTAGGAGTATAGAGTTTTTTCTTAAATCATGTTCCAGAGCGGCCCAGCTGACTGTCAAGAGGTAAAGGGAAAGAAATAATTGACAAACGCTCTGGTTAAGAAAGGTCAAGTGGCAATGGCTTAGATATGTTGAGAGACAATGCTAATAGCCTGGGGTAAAGTGACAAGGGTCAAAAGAGGTCAAGAGACAAACGCTAGAAAGCGTCAACTAGCAAGGAAAAAAGAGGTAAGGGTCAAAGGCAAAGTTTAAATAAAAGTTAGAGAGGCAAGATTTTTTCCTAATCCTCTTGATTCTCTTTTCCCTCTTCTCGTTATTCCTCTCTTCTGTACCTGCTTGGTTATGTCATACCACTCCCACCTCATCATCCCACTTTTTTTACTCTTTCATTTCATATCTTTCTTCCTCTTTCCTCTTTCCTTTTATTACTTGACCGTCTTTTCTGTCCATTTCATCTCTCTCTTTCTCTCTCTCTCTTTCCCTCTCTCGCTCGCTCTCTCTCTCTCTCTCTCTCTCTCTCTCTCTCTCTCTCTCTCTCTCTCTCTCTCTCTCTCTCTCTCTCTCTCTCTCTCTCTCTCTCTCTCTCGCTGGCTCGCTCTCTCTCTCTCTCTCTCTCTCTCTCTCTCTCTCGCTGGCTCGCTCGCTCTCTCTCTCTCTCTCGCTAGCTCTCTCTCTCTCTCTCTCTCTCTCTCTCTCTCTCTCTCTCTCTCTCTCTCTCTCTCTCTCTCTCTCTCTCTCTCTCTCTCTCTCTCTCTCTCTCTCTCTCTCTCTCTCTCTCTCTCTCTCTCTCTCTCTCTCTCTCTCTCTCTCTCTCTCTCTCTCTCTCTCTCTCTCTCTCTCTCTCTCTCTCTCTCTCTCTCTCTCTCTCTCTCTCTCTCTCTCTCTCTCTCTCTCTCTTTCTCTCGGC